AACAGTAAGAGGACGAGCATTTGGGAGGGAGATGGGACGGGTGTGCTTGGGCAAGGTAGAGGTAGTGTTGGATGGACACAGACAACACTGTGACATTGTATAATATTCCAAAGAATCAATAACATTATTTAAAAGACAGAAAAATAGCATTTATCAGAAACCACTTTAAAATCCAGATATGATGGACCAACTGGCAGCCACTCACCCTTTCTATTAAAAAAAAAAAAAAAAATGTGTACGTGAAGTGCCCTGCCTTCAGGCCCATGACCCTTGGCCTACGCATCACAAAAACTTCCCGTCTGCATTTATGTCTTCTAGTGAACAGACTGTACTTTGTTTATTGTCAAGATACATCACCAAGCCTGCCAGAACAAACCAGGTGGGGCTCAGGACAGAGGACACAGAAGAAAGGAAAGCGAGAACCCTGCCCATCAGACACTGTGGTTTCCAAGGTGTCCAAACACACAGACATCTGCCTGAACACTATGTAACAGATAAACCTTAGTAAATACTGACGTTACTCCCCGGCTTGTGCAGGCATGGAAAGCAGGGTCTCATGTGCAAGCTAGCAATCTAAAGACTGTGTCGTGGCCACATTACCCATGCATAGAACATGTTGAAGCCACAATAGAGTCCAAACAATTGCTTGGTTTGGGGTTTAGATAACTAGTTAATAATTTTCCTGCAGGCCAGACCATGGCCACTTTAATAATCTATCAGATCGGGCTTAACAGATCCCAGTTTCTTTTATTGTTCTGATAATCTCCTGAAAAGATGTAACCATCATTATGTCCCCCCACCCAAAAAAAATTTCACTCTGGATACAAAAGATTTTTAGGGACTTTTGGTTGATGACAACCAGGGTAAGGTAGAGATAGACTACATTGTAGCCTTTTTCCTTTTTGCCAATAACTTGATTGGTTATTGATCAGCTGGGTGGCTGGCCTTTGTTCTAAAAGCTATAGCAGCTGTGACACTTAATTAGTGGAGCACATTTCATTCAGGAAATAATAAATATGTTTTGCTTTGGAGTCATCCTTCGCCCTCTGTCTCCAAGGCTCCTGTTGATTTGGAACCTTCAGGATATCTGTTCTTTTTTGTTTTACTCTCCACCATCACTGAGATGTCTGTGTCAAGGCTCCAAGTGGCTTCCATTAGAGCATCATCCTCTACCTCTCCCTTCAGTTATCTTCCTCTTATCAAGAAGCATCTTGCCCCCCCTTCCCTCAAGGTAAAGCTGTACTCTCCTTTGCTCCCTCTGGAATCCCAGCTTCTCCTCCATGTACTTTACAAGAACACAAAGGATACAGTCCACGTCCTGGTGGAAACTTATTTCCTATTACTTTTAGATCCTCCCCTAAATTCTCACAAAGAGGGAAAGTTGGAAAAGGCAATGGTGGAGAGGGTGACCGACAGAACCCTGATCCCTCCTGGCCTGACCTTCCTCCACAGCACAGCTGCATTTCCCTTCCTGGAAAAGCAAGTTAGAAGAGGTTGACCCCAATTGCTGCTTGCCTCGAGATAGGAAGCTGGCCAGTAGAACAGCTTAGGATCCGGCTCTGCCAGAGTTCCTTCCCCTGGCAAAGGTCCTGATGATTCTACTCAGCACCACCTACCATCACCACCACCCCTGTCGGCACTGCTAGCCAGCACCCAGAATGCCCTTCTTTCTGCCTCACTTTCATAAGCTCCCCTGCCTCAAGTTCCAACTGAGCCTCCAGTGTCCCAAGCCTCAGGTTCCTGAAGAGTCTGAATTTAGCCCCAAGGCCTGACCCCTGGATTGAGTAAGGTATCCGTTCTGTTTGTCCCCTTAACAGCTCTTTTCATGTCTTATTAACATCTTTGTTGTTATATAGCAGATGTAAAGGAAAGCGTGTCGTGGTGCACTCCTATAATTCCAGCATTTGGGAAGCTAAGACAGGAGAATTGCCATGAGGTCAAGGCCAGCCTAGGCTATATAGTGAGTTCCAGAACAGTTGTGGTGTAGATTGGAACCCTGTCCCAAAAAAAAACAAACAACTAACTAACCAATCAATCAAACAAACAAATGTGCATATGGCAGGGCTGAGAGATGGCACAGTGGTTAAGAACGTTGGCTGATCTTCCAGAGAACCCAGGTTCAATTCCCAGCATCTACATGGCAGCTTATAACTGGCTGTAATTTCAGCCCCAGGGGATCTGATACCCTCCTTTGGCCTCCATACTCACCAGCAATGCACATGGTCCACAGGCATATATACAGGGGAACTCCTGTACACATAAAATAACAGACAGTGCACATGCTAGAAGTACACAGCCTGACCTTGACAAAATACCAATAGCAAAGCCATCCTGCAGATTGAGGAATTAGTGGTCCCCAAAGACTGTCCTCGGTCAATAGATGCTTTCTCCAAGAATGATCACATCCTCACTTCCAAGTCAATTCACCTTGTTTTCCTGTGTATATAAAATTTTATAAATTTTGGAAGAACAAATCCAAGCTCGCACAGGGTCAGAGTTCAGTGGAACCAGTGTGTGGCTAGTACTGTCTCACCCCAAACCCCACATCCCAGGAAAGTCTCCAGAACCAGTGTCAGTTAGTAAGACTCTTAGGGAGCCCCCGGTCCCAGGCACAGGGGCCTCTGGACTTCCACAGTTCCCTTGACCTCACACCCACCACCTCTCATATATTTTTATGGGTGAGTGTCAAGGAGCACTCTCTCTTCATGGTAGCGGAGGATTAATTCACATTGAAGCTTAGCGGGTCAGCTGAATACATTGCCCCAAATCCACAGCTGAGCAGACACATAGCTGAGGAGCTCTGAAGAGGTAAGTTGTCCCCCCTTCTCCTTCCTTTCCTTTACTGCATCCTCCATTCTCTCTTGAAACATGGCATCTCTGTCTCCATAGCCCAGATTCCTTTCTCCTGCCTCCGGAGCGCTAGGGTGAGGAGCTTGTTCTGCCATGCCCCGAACTAGCTGTCCTCTTTCTACCTCAGCAGCTGGGCCTCTGGGAACATGTTGGCAGGGACATGTCCCACTCCCTTAGATAAGGGAGACCTCGGCACATGTGTAATTTGACATCACAGTACTTAGCAAATATTTGCCATTCGTCTATTGATCTCTTGTTTCTTCTTGACTGCCTTGCTCCTGTCTTGTTCCCTTCCTACACGATTGTGCTGATCCAGTCTCTCGCTTGAGTCTCCTCTGGTACCAGTCAGTTCTTGATAAATTCGTATCTGTATGTAGTATTTGACTATCCCCCCCCCCAAAAAAAATCAGATTTCCAACTAAAGAAAAAGAAAGAAAACAAAATAACCAACCCAAAAGACAACCAAAACCCCTGCAAATCAGGCATGATGCCACACACCTATAACTCCAGCACTCAAGTGGTGGAGACAGAAAGATCAAGAGGTCAAGGTCATCCTCAGGAAATGTCCTGTTTGAGTCCATCTTGGACTATGTAAGGTCTCATCTTTCAAAAGGCAAGAGAGGCCAGGCTTTCTAGAGCAGGCCTTTAATCCCAGCACTCAGAGACATGTTTGGATCTTTGTGAGTTGGAGGCCAGCTTGGTCCATGTAGAAAGTTCCGGAGCAGCCAGGGTTACAGACCTTATTTCAGAATCAAACAGAAAATAACCAAATGCCAAAAACAAAATAAAACACCTGAGCAAAAGACACTTTCTAATTCACAACTGAGCCCTCTGGAAAACCTGTGAGATTATAGATGTTGGCCCCTGAGGAAAGCGTAATCATTTTTGTTGTCGCCAATGAGAATGAGGGAGAATGAGTGAGCCGGCTGCCCACCAAAGCAGAGTCTAGGATTCTTGTTGTTTGGGTTTGGTAGGGAATTTAATAGGTAGCTAGTGCCTAGTACCCCACTGTAATCTGTGGCCACTGGGAGCTGGGGGCCATCTTCTCATTTTAATCCTTCAGTGCACTCCATGAAAAAAAATACACACGACGGATAGCAAACTTAGAAGCCTAGAAGCCTTCTAGACTCTAGAAGTGCTGGGGGGTGGGGGTGGGGAGGAGGCAGGGGCCAAGTGAAGGCCTTCAGAGTTAGGAGAAGGGAAATGGCACAGCTTCCTCTGTGAGAACCATATGTAAATAGATTTGGGTGGAGCCTAGTTTTTAATGGAAAGGTTCAGCTAGATCCACTGGGGATCCCTGGCATGCTAGGGATTTGTGTTAAGTGTTGAAAAATCCAGAGGATTGGAGCTTGAGGCTCCCCTAACAGTGTAAACTCCCAATGGGACAGACCTCAGAGGAGGGTTCTGCTGGGCAGAACCCAGAGCCAGCCACCCTAAAGATGACAGCTCCCACTGACTTAAACAGGGACTGTGTTTTTTCTCCGAAGCCGGGTACTCCTGAGGAAGTAGGACAGCTTGTTGGGAACATGGGCATTTGTTAACATGACTTTGCGCTTGCTGGTGGCACTCTCAGACTATCACCCTGGTTACGCCTTTCAGCAAACAGCGGACGACGACCTGTCTTGCTCTCAGTACCTCTAGCACTCAGACGAGAGCCCAACCCAAGTACTCCTATTTGTTAAAAGAATTACCTGTCACTTAAGATAAGGCAAATGTGAGGACAAGCAGTCCACAGGACTTCATGGGACAGTCAATCAACACAGGGAACATTACTTTATATACAACGTTATTTTATAGCATTGTTTGGATGAATGACCAGCAGCACAAAATACTGGGAGTATAGGTTCTCCGTGTTGGAGATTCAACCCAGGCCTTCACATGTTATGGAAAGTCCTGCACCAGAAGCTGTGACAGTAGCCTCAGTAAACTACAGCCTCGCCTTGGCGGCCCTTAACACCTGATCCTGAGTAAAAGGAAGCAAATTGTCTTACTTTTTTGCCCAGGCTGACAGTAATCCTCCTGCCTCAGTGTCCAAGTACTGGAGTATGTGCTATTACACTGAGTTTACCAAAGTATTTTTAAACTGCTCCATTATCCCCCCCCCCCCCGGCCAAGTCCAGTTTATCAAAATACACAAACACATGACACCATTTATGCAAATGTTTTTCAAGATTTTTATTGCAAACCAAAATTGGTTTATCGCACACAAAAAAAGTTGTGTGGTAAGGAGAAGGAATTATACATATTATAACCATGTTAATTACAGTACATTAAAATGATGGTTTACAAATAAGCCTGTAAGTTTTAAATATACTAGTGTCGTAACTCAATGTACAGACTGTCTTTACATAATACATAATCAGGAATGCAAAAGGAAACAAAAACATAAATAATGCCCATTTTACAGGTGACATTTTAAACAATGAAAACACCAGCGGCTTTGACTGACAACTGGGGCATTGGTCCATAAAAACCCTTTCTGAAAATAGAAATATCTGTAGCAGCAATGCTTTCATTAAGCATCTGGATGCCTGTCATCGCAAGACCGTGTCAAGAGATTTTAGTTATTAACTATATCTTACAAAGAACAGTCTACACGTAAATTTTATCTTCCAAATATGGAAGAAACAAACAATGTCCCACATTGTAGCGTCCTGCAAGTGTCACATTGATGCTTACAACAAAACCATCTGTGATTGGGCTCAGCACACTCACACCACACACACACACACACACAAAAAAAAAAAAAAACAACAAATAGAACTGAACACTCTGCGATGATGGGAAAAGCTTTGGAGCTAACACGATCTCAGAAAAGGCACGTTGCAGAATATTCACGATCACAGCTCAGACAGACCTGCAGAGATCCCTCTCAGACCTGCATCTTCCTCCTAACGGGCCCGAGGTGTCTGTCTAAGGCGGCCCTCTGATGCTCCGTTAGAGCTAGCACCACGTTGGAAGGAAGGAAGAAAATGGAAACCTCACAAGCTCACTGAGAGGAGGCTGTGCTCTTCGGAAAGCGTCCATCAAGCAGTGTGCACTGGGGCTGCCCAGCTTCCAGGTGTGCAAATTCTCTCTTCGGAAGTGCTGTCAGCTGGCAACCCCACCAAAGGCTAACCCAAACACTTTAGAAAACACTAAGGGAATCCCACGAGCGCTCAGAGGAAAGAGTCCATGGGAGGCGCATAGGAGAAGCCCAGGAAGGCCTCTGCAGCCTCCTTCACGCTGGCCGTGACAAGTATGCTGTCAGGGGACCTGCCGATGGAGCTGGGGACAGGCTCTTCAGTAAACTCAGGATCAAAGTGCCGAAGGTCACTGGGTCCACTCTGTTACAAGAAGAGGAAACACACTCAGCACAGGAGGCAAAGGGCAGAGAATGCTTAGGCTCCAAAGTTGAGGAGGTTACAAGGTATCACTATGCAGCCTAGCCTGGCCTCAAACCCCATCCTGCTTTAGTCTCCTGAGACTTTGCTGGGATTAAAAACAAAAAGAACCAAATCCCAAAACTTTTCCCCTGGGATAATGAGTCTGTGGATAGTATCTGCTATTTACTTCAAGAGTTTGATGTAAAAGAAACCTTCCAGGTCTCACTTTTATTAAAGTTAATTAATTTATTTATTCATTTAATGTGCACAGATGTTTTGCCTGTATAAATTGTCTACGTAAAGATGTTGTACCCCTCTGGAATTGGAGTTATACAGACAGCTGTGAGCTGCCATGTTTGTGCTGGGAATTGAACCCAGCTCCTCTGGAAGAGCAGCCAGTGCTCCTAATCGCTGAGCCATCTATCACTCCAGCCCCTGACTCTTCTCACTGTTCTTAGAGACCATAAACACACAGATACTTACCACATTTGGGTTAAATGGGGGTGTAATCTTCTTATTAATGAGATCATCCCAGTTAATTAGAGAGAAGAAAATATGATTCTTAATCTCCATCTGTTGGAAATAAACGGAGATTCATTTAGACGGGCAGAGCTCAACGTGAGGCCGTGAACTCAGTGCTCCTCCCCAAGGTCCCAGGAGAGCAAGACTCACAAAGTCATCCTTGGCGCCCAGCCTCTTTGTCCGGTCCTTCTGCAGGAGGCCCTCCAGGAGGTGCCTTGCTGAGTTTGTGATATTTGGTTTCAACTGGAGGGGCTTGTTCAGAATATTGTCGTACATCTCAGCTGTGTTCCGGCTGTAAAACGGAGGCTGGAAAAGGAAGGGAATTCCTTCAGAGTCAACTCAAGTTTTAGTTAGCACACATTAGATATAGCGAAAGTGATGAACTTGAGATGGTCCCGTCCCTGGGTGCTGAAATATCTGTAATTTAACTGTCTATTTTACAACCCCTACTGGGGGTGTGAGCGTGTGTGTGTGTGTGTGTGTGTGTGTGTGTGTGTGTGTGTGTTGGGGCTTAGGCTAGGATTACACAGGTCAAGTGTAGTCCTCTGTAGTAAATTGTATAGAAGAAACGCACTAAACACTTGGGGGCGCTGCTCAGTATAAAACCTTCGGTACCCTGCCTTAAGATTCAAGCATAACTACTGAAGAAAATAATGCCCAGAAGACACTGCACACGTAAGACGGCCAGTGTCCCCTTCACTAGCTTCCTGTCACTGGTAAGGATGAGCTGTGGCAGAGTAACCCACACCCAAGGACATCCACAAATGCTTTCCAGTGACATGAGCATGATTCTGTGGGTCACTCACCAGGCCATAGAGCATCTCGTACAGGACAGCCCCGAGGCACCACCAGTCCACTGTCCTGTCGTACGGCTGCTTGTGGAGCACCTCCGGTGCCAGATACTGAAATGACACCAGGGAGAGAAGTTAACTCTCAAAACCAGACAATCCTGACAGCAAGCATCCTCTGCACTTTTTGAGGCTAACTGGTCCCCTGTGTGTATACATATATTTAGGGAGCAAGCTGGTACCTACTGGTAGCATGAGGCTCTCTTATGACATTTGTATTTGACTTGCACTGAACTGTGCTTTAAGTGAGGAACTGCTCCCTCCGCTTTCATATTTAAAAGCATCACTGCGTGTGTCTCCTGAATAGGTCAGACGCCAGGCCAAGAGCACCCACCTCAGGTGTGCCACAGAAGGTGGACGTCGTGCCGTTGGGCTCAATGTTCTCCTTGCAGAGGCCAAAGTCGGTGAGGACAATGTGTCCCTGTGAGTCCAGGAGGATATTCTCCGGTTTTAAGTCTCTGCGGGAAAATGAAGAATAGTTGCAGAGGTTAATTTCACTTTGGGACAAATCCTCTGTAAAGACCGCTGGTGGTATTAGCAATTTTAATCCTTTTCTGTTCCATAGCCAATCACAGAAAGGAGTCTTTGTCGGGCCGTTCGGGATTAGGCATGGAGTCTGACATGCTGGGCAACTTTTACAAGTGACCAAATTGCACAAAATACCACCCAATTTTATGCCTCTGAATGCTCAGCCTGGCCTCCCTCCTGCCCAGCAAGGTGGCGTTGACTCTGACTCACCTATATACGATGTTCAGGGAGTGCAGATAACCCAAGGCACTAGCTATTTCAGCAGCGTAGAAGCGAGCCCGCGGTTCTAGGAAGCAGCGCTCCCTCTGGAGATGGTAGAACAGCTACAAGAGGCAAAACAAAGCAAGGCTGAGTTGGTACCATTTAATCATGCCTGAAGAGAAAGGTTGCAGAAAGTGTCCTGAAATAGGTTAACTCTGAAAGCTGGCAAGTTCATGAAAGTCCTGACTCTGGCAACTTCCTCCACCCCTTAAACATCTCAAAAACTCATCTCAAGCCCAAAACAAGCAAGCTAAGCAGAGAAATCGCACCACCACCAAGAGGTTCGCCCCACCCAGCTCACCTCTCCACCGTTAATGTAGTCGAGGACAAAGTACAGCTTGTCGGCAGTCTGGAAAGAGAAGTGAAGGCCCACCAGGAAAGGGTGCTTCACATTCTTCAGTAGAACATTTCTCTCTGACATAATGTGCTTCTCCTAAGAAAAAAAGGTGAGATTCAGCTGCAAGGTCAGATTTCAACCAGGCACCAAATCACAGGGTCAAACTTAATTCGCTAGGCCCGAGCCCCTGCCACCAGGTGGCGCTCGTACCTCCTTCTTTTTCAGGATAGCTTTCTTCTGTAAAACTTTGACTGCATAGAAGGCTTCCTCTGCCTTGTGTCTTGCAAGCAGAACCTGAAATGTCAATCAAACAGTCACTCTTTAAATCTTCATCCAGGGGGAACATAAAAATGAACACACGAAAGAGCATAGTTTTAAAATTTTCAGGTTAGAAATTACCTTTCCAAAACTGCCCTTTCCAATCACTTTCAAGAAGTGAAAGTCAGACGGCTTGGCATGTGGGTTGGAGGATGGACCGAGGTTGATTTGCTGAGAAGGACTCGGCTAGAAAACAAAACATCATCTTTTAAGGCGCTGGCGGCGCTCAGCCTTGCTGTTAACAGATAAAAGTTATGAGGTGCGCCGTCAAGACATTCCAGTGACTCAATACTTATGTCACTTGGGATGTTTTGAACAGTCACTCCCCACTTGATCATAATTTTACGCCGAATCATTTACGATTTTCTTTTACAGCCAAGAGGGTGCTTACCGGAGGAGAGGGGTTGGCGTTCATAAGCTCGGGCTCCTGAGGCTGGGAGATTTTCAAAATGGACTGCACCTCAGGGCTGCGGAGATTAAAGAGCCGGTTTAGAAACTCTTAATTCGCCAGAGGGCACACAGACATAAGCTCTATTTCTGACTCAACCGTTCCGGCATTTAAACCGAAAACATCCCAACGAATTACTTACAGAAACCGTAGGGCAAGAAAACAAGCCCGGTTAAGTACAAATTAAGATCCGTTCACCGAGAGGGGACGTATATTTGGTAAACACTCACGAGAATTAATCTTACATATCCAGGGCAAGCTCGAGCCATAATTAACGTTTAAAATGTTTCAAATAAGCCAAACACTCCAAGACAAGGAGAGACCTCTCTACCCCAGAGGAAAAAAAACTTCAGCTTCCCCGGATGAACAGTAGTAATAAGCCTTGGCGGCCGGTAGATTTAAACGATTCTTTTTATTTCCCCCAATAACCCAAACTTACTGTTTGCATGCATAGGAGTTGTTGGCAATCTTCTGAATAAAATCGTTCAGGCCCATCCTTCTCTGTTTCATGAAAGCTGTAAATCAGAAGGGGAGAGAAAAAAAAAAAAAAAGGTTTAGGCGGCTCGGTAACGTCCGACGCCACACGCTAATCTGATCCTCGCTCCTTCAAAACCCTCGAACGGGTCCACGCCGTCTCTGCCCGACAAGTCCGTGCTTTTCCAGCACTCACCGATGAGAATCGCCACCATTCCCCTCATCCTGGAGTAGGTGAGGGTGCTTCGAGCAGCCTCGGTTTTCACAGTCATCGCCCCGAAAGAGCCCAGGGAGACACAAGTAAGAGCAGCAAGAGCGACTCAGCCAACTACTGCGCGCTCGCTCCGGCCGCGCGGGCGGCTTTATAAGCCCTGAGCCGCCAGGGGCGTGGCCGGAGGGGCGGGGAGGAGCTGCCTGGCCCCGCCCACCGCGAGGCCACGCCCCCGACCGCCGCGCCCGCTGCAGACTGAGCTGCGGGCGGATGCGGGCTGCGGGGGACCCGGTCCGGGCGAGCTAGGCCGACCGCCCCGGGGCAGGGCCGAGGGTTCCGGGGACTGCGCGAGCAGGACCCCGCGCGGGGCTGCCCTCGGCCTCCGGTCGGCCGGCCCGGAGGGGGAGACCGCGGGGGCGCAGAGCCCCGGGGACTCTCCATTTCCTCTCCGGTACCGCTCGAGCGCAGGAGCACCGCGTCCACCGCGCGCACCGCTCAGCGAGCTCCCGGCCCCGGCCCGCCTCGCAGCCGCCGAGTCCCCGCGCCGCACCCGGTCTCCACCCGCCCTCCACCCCCACCCCGGCCCCTCCGGAGCCCAGGGTCGCCGCGGGGCCGGGCGGCGGCGCTTACCCAGGCCGCTCAGCAGGACCGACTCGCTCCTTTTCTGCGCCTCCGCCCGCTTCTTGTGGCGGGGCCGGAGCAGGGACTCGAGCCGGGCCCGAGCCAGCGCGCCCTGCATCTCCCCCATGGCCGCGGAGCGAGGGGCGCGCAGCGGGCGACGGCGACCGGCGAACACTGACGTTTCCTTGAAGGAGCCGCCGTGACTCAGGCCGGCTAGATTTCCTGCCCCGGGTCCCAAAACAAACAAATGGCCCTTGTGCACGGCCGAGTCGCTTCCGAAAACGCCTTTTTTGTGCTTTTAGCCAAAACCAAGCAAGGCTGAAAAATCCCAGAACTTGGAAGAGGAGGAAGGAAGGAAAGAGCGGCGGGCGGGGAGGGGGGGGTCAGGAATGTGTAGGGGAGGGGGAGGAAATAAGTCTGCGCTACAAGAAAAAAAAAAAAAAAAGTACAATCTTCATTTCACTTTTTTTTTTTTCCCAACTAATCTCCGAGAACATTCTGTCCTTTCCGCCTGTAAATTTGGAGCCTTGCAAATTTTAATCCTAGCCGTGCCGAGAACACGTGAGGAGGTGGCACGGCAGGGGGAGCAGGGGTTTCTTCCCGGGGCCGACCCGGAGTGACCCCAGCCTTGGCGCCTGCAAGAGTGCGTTGCATTGCCCTCGACCCCGTTTTTCCTCATCTCCCCCATCCCTTACCTCGTGGCTGGCTGGGGTAGTCTTACTTTTGTCACCTCGCTTTTTTTTTTTTTTCTTTTTTTGCAAGTTCACATATACCTGAAACCCGTTAACTGCTTAAATATTAGTGCGAGCCCCGTCCCTGAAGGCTGGGTACGGAGCGGCGGGGTGCCTAGCGGTAACGCCGCCGCTGGGGGATGCCTGGCGCTGCAGCTCGGCCGCCGAGGCGGGGACGCGCGCTAGCGCTGGCTAGGAAGCCCGGAGCACCCGGGCTGGGCCAGGGGCCGGAAGGCGGCTGCAAGGAAGCAGGGCCAGAACCTGGCGCTGGCTGGTGCGGTCTGCGGTGACTGCCCTGCCGTGACCCCTCGCTGCCAAGGGCCTAGCATTTTAGAGTTGACACACTCCAAAATACCAGTTGTCAGGCCAGGAAAGGCATGCGAGGCGCTCTTCCCTCCGCCTTGGGCAGGAGTTTGTTTTGCAGCCGCGGCTATCAAGTCACCTAACGTGATCTCTAGTCACAGTTGCTCCTTGATTTGATTTGCTCACTTCGGACAGGCAGAGACCAGGGAGAAGGGGACGCACGCCTTCTCTCTGGAGGCAGAATTTTGCATTTCAAAATGCACCTAGGGCGCCTGGGGTTGGCACTCCGGAACTAAAACAAGGTGTGGGCGAGTCCAAATCACAGCAGCCAGCGCGCGCTGCTTTTGTGTGCTTGAATTCTGCATAAACTACGGAATGTTACTGCCAGTGAGTGCCAGTGCCCCCACAAACCATGTGGCACCCATCATTTATTTAGCCTAGTCCCCCCCTGCCCCCCCCACCTGCCTGCCAACTTGCCCTCTAGAAAACGTTGGCTAAGAAACGCCAATCTCCACAAAGATGTTTGCTTAGTTTTAAAACATTAAATCGGGATGCCTTCCATCAGAAACCCTCTCCAGTATGTCACCTAACGTTCCGGCTTCCCCAAGCCTCTCCCAGGTATTTATTTTACCTTTATTCCATCCCATCCAACCTATGGCACTCAAAACACGAACCTTTCCAAGGGGATCTTAAGGCCTCCTCTTTCATTCTTCACAGTGCTGGGGTGTGAAGGCTGGGATGCAGGAGGTCGGAGGAAGAGCTAGCTACCGGCGGAGTTAGCCTCTAGGCTATGAGCTAGCGAAGCACTTGATGACAAGGGAGACTCAGCCAGAGGCTGCTGCCGCGGTCCTGTTCTGAGCCCCACTTTATATCTAAAGGGAATTTACATACAGGAAGGGAGCAAGCTGCAAAGTTCAACGCTGGGCTATTTATTCCGCCGTTGCAACATCATCCAGAAAATTACAGTCATCAGCGTCCTAGGCTTATTTCACCAGCAAGACACACAAGAAATGTAACTTAACTGATTATCACCACCAATCAGTGCAGAGGAAAAATTCGAAACACACGCACGGGGTTTGGTCTCTCAGGGAAGCTCTCTAGAGTGCATTCCAGAAGGAACAAGGAATTCAAGTAAGGGGCCTCCGAGTGCAGCAAAGAAAAAACACAACCGTATATTTGTGGTTGGAAGAGAAGAGGGCCGCCTTGGATGTGCCCCTTTCTCCCCCTGCCCGGAATGGGCAGCGATTGGAGACGGTCGGTCTGCTAACCTTATCATTTAACAGAGGGGGAGTCAAGTTGTTGAGACTGGCTTTTCTTCCAACCGGATACCTGATGGGTGGAGCAGGCGCCCCCACTTCTGTCCCAGCAACCTACTAAGACTTCCGAACAGGAAGGTGACACACGGCCCTGGAGGGAGGAGGGAGACTGGGGGACTGTGCGATGCTCCCGTTAACGGCGCACGGGCTTGAGGCTGCCCAGTGGCAGCTATTCAGTTACTCGACCTATTCTTCCTTCCTTGGTCCAGACAGTCCTCCTGCGAGGAGGTTGCCCTCCCCCTTCACAGTTCCTCCGTGGTTGCTTAGCGGCCAGCCTTGCCAGAAAGACTCAGCTGATGACTGCAGCCTAGAGGGCGATCGAGTTCTCCCCGAGAACTCCAGAAGGTCGGATTGCTTCGTTTACTCTGAAATTCCTCCTGCAGCCACAAAGAACAGAGCTTTGATGGGTGTCTGGTTAATTACCTAATCTACACTCCCCAAGCCAACGGTCTCACAAGTCTGCGTCAATATGGATAAAACAACCAAAACTCTAATGGAAGTGGTCAACCAAGATGTAAACTGAAGCAAAACATCTTCCGGTGCCTGTTACTACTTCAGCAAACTGCTTTGTTCTTATTGCTGCTGAGAAATGGACTAGGAGCTGCAGAGATGGCTCATTGCTCTTCCAAAGGACCTAGGTTCAATTCCCAGCACCTACATGGCAGTTCACAACTGTCTTTAACTCCATTTCCTAGGGATCTGACATCTTCACACTAATGCACATAAAATAAAATTATAAGAAGAAATAAAAGTGGACCATCCAAACACTGAAACATGACCGTTTAAAATAACTTACCACTTAATTCAAAGCCTCACAAATAACACTTTCTCCATGTATTAGAGGAAATGGTTGGAAATGCCACATCTACTCTTAGACTCCCTTAAGTCAACTCTGTTAGTCTTGACTACCTAGATATTTCATTGATAACAAGAAAACATTGTGTTGTTCAAGATGTTATAGATTCCAGAACAAACATGTGTGCGGTATAAGCTCCCCCTTTACACACACACACACACACACACACACACACACACACACACACACACCATGCCTTTTTTATACTCAAAGTGGTGTAAGTATAAACCTTTCCTTGGGGCATCCTCAAAACACACAGAAATACCAGAAAATGCAATTATTACTGTAGAGAGCAACTGGATTGATGAGTTTCTGCTGGAGGCTGTCACTAAGAATATGTCTTTTTATTAAAATAGTAATCCCAAGAGAAAATAATGACAAATGAGTTGATTCATGACAGCTATTATGGACAAGTGGTGGCTAAGCATCTATTTTTGGAGCACAGTTTCCATCATAATTATTACCATACATATTTGTAACTGTCAAGAGTGACATGCATAAAGATGAGAGCGATAAAGCAGGAAACTAAGACGTATACATTATCCACAATAATGCTGTTAAGAGTCATTAAAACCCACACTGCCACATGCTTTATTTATTATGGAGCTCCTCACCCCAAGAAAGGACACCAATGTTCTACAAACATTTGTTCCTGCAAGAGGAGTTTTAAATGTTAATTAAGGAAGACAGTAGAAGAATGAAAATCTAGATAGCAACAAGCAGGTAAGTCTGTGACAGTCTGAAAACTCATCTTCGCTTCATCTTTGAATGTTGCCGGGGACCAATTTAGTATCGTACAATGAACAAATAAAAAGTTTAAAAAACAACAACAACTTACCAGCCAGACTATGTCTTTGACAGCCTTGTGTTTAACTCTTTAGATTTAGCTGATTAAATACTGTGTATGACCTAACATCAAGAGGACAGAGGCCTCACGGAAAGCCTTACGCACAGCCTTACACACTGTTGACATAGCTTGATGGCCATTCATTTACATTTTAAA